TAGGAAGCAGTACACCGTCTACAATGGAAAGTCCTCCACTACCTCACTTACTTTAGCTGGTGTTCCTCAAGGTGCTGTTCTTTCTCCCTTTCTGTTTTCGTTTTTCTTACATGACTTGCCTCATTCTGATGTAGCCACTTTTGTTAAGTATGCCGATGACCTCTCGGTTTCTATGCCTGTCAACTCTCAGTCAGATTGTTCCAAATTAAATAACTTTCTGTCGGAAATTAGTCAGTGGTCCTCTTCAAACGGACTTAAGCTTAATCCGTCTAAATGTCAGGTAGTCAATTTCACTTTCAGACGTAAATGTGACCTACAGCAACTAGTTAGCTCACATGGCCCCACTATCATTGACGACACAGAGGTTGAAAATACATCTAATGTCAAATACCTTGGGCTGAGTTTTTCCACCGATCTTTCCTGGTCTTCCCACATCTTGCTAGTTACTAGAAAGATGTTTCGCTTAACGTTCTACATTAGGAAATTTAGGCAGTCTGGTATAAAGCAATCTTTACTTTCTCAGTTTGTAAATTCTTGTATTCTACCCATCCTCCTTTACTGCTCCCCATTAATCTTTCCTGGACTACTTAAGAAAGACTTTGCTTTGCTGAGAAGGGCAGGCACTAAAAGCCGTTAGTAGGGCAAGTGGGATATCGTTAAACCAACTGGTTAACACTATTGTGGATAGACATATTATATCATGTAAGAAACTAGCGAATACAATATTGTCGGACCCCGAACATCCTCTCTATACGCATCTATCTCCTTGCATTTCATCTGGTAGAACTAGAAGCAGCTATAGGCGGCTATATGCTAGGACTACCAAATACAAAAACTCCACAATACCATATCTGGCACAGCTGTTATGTGATGAGAAATCCGTTAGGTATGACACGATCAACTTACTGAAACTCTCTAACAAATAGTCCCATTAGTTTTTGTTTTCCTTTCCTCGTTACTATTACACTGTTGTTCTCATCTTCTATCACACATCAACTTTATATTTCATATCCTGTGGTGCATTGTTTGAAATGTAATACTCTACGCTGTTTTTTTAATTATCTTTTATTTTTTTGGCGTTGTTTTTATTTATTTTTTGATTTTAAAAATCTTATAAAATTTATGAGGTAATTAGATGCAATATACTGTAATGCACGCTGAAAATTCCATACCTGTACCACAAATACCGTTTGGAATAAAGATGTTATTATTATTATTATTATTATTATTATTAATTAAAAGTCAATCTGAACGAAGGATATTCTTTTCAATAATTTCTCCTATTCAGGTTCTTACAGTTATAAAATAGAGTATTTGTTGTCGCTACAATAAAGATAGCCAGGTATGCGGCGGATACATTTTTAACCTAGAATAACAGACTAGTAGTTATGGTGTGTCAACATAAACAGTCGTATTTGTGTGACAAACGTGCTAGGCTGAAATCGATTAGAAATATTGTAAAACGGGAGACAATGGTGGTGATTAATCATAATAGAATTGTAGAGTGTGGGGTAGGAAAATTGACAAATCAGTTCAAGGTTATTAAAGGTGTCAGGTGAGTGGCTAGTACAAAGTGGTCTGTGTTAAACAGGAGATAGTAAGACCGCGATGAGAGATGGTTCATAATGAAATAACGAATATGTGAAATGAAACACGTGGAGGCATATATTGAGAAAACAGATAATATCACTAATAATAAGTCCGTATAAATGAAAATTCGATAGTATTGAGGGAATGTTTGCATGAAGGGCATAAATTATGACGAATAATAATAATGATCGTAATAATAAGCAAAGGAGAAAAAACCAAAAGGGTTAAGGGGAAGGAACACTCTTGGTGAGCAGAAGAATCATCAATCCAGGTTTGGCCACGGTAGGAACAGCGTCTGGACGTGTTCTTTTTGGATACAGAGTTCCGGTTTAGTCGATCTTATTGCAACAGCTTCAGCTATGTTTAGGAGACGTAAGTGAACTAACTGTATGTGATAACGACTTCGGAATTCGGTATATAACTCTGAACGCTGCGTTGACATCGATGCGATGTCCAGTGTCGACCAGGTGTGACAGGATCGAGCTTTTTATGCACTTAATTTCCCCCCTGCTGAACCAAGCTGGTAAGTGTTCTCGAATCCGTAGACGAACCTGCTTAATCGTGCGCCCTATATAACTTGAACCACAGGAATAGTTGAAATGGTATATGCATGAAGAAGAGCTTAGGTTAGGTAGGGCATCTTTGAGCTGCTGGGTGAACATTGGACGGCTAGTGAAGGATAGACACAGACGTGCAGAATAGAAAGTTTTCTTGATCGCCCTGGTTAAACGTTGGGATAGAATCTCTTCAGGAGTATCTCGCTTGAATTGGAGACGTAAAAACAGAGGCTTTTTCTCCACAGTTGTCAGTTCATGTTTACGGCTATTATAACCTATGTTGGCTTTAGTAAACTTCTCTAGAATGTCTCGGATGATCTGGAGTTCTTTCTCTACGCACTCTTCAGAACAAATAGACCTCGCTCTAAATGCTAAGCACCTGATTAGATTACGTTTGTATTTCATCGGTACGAAGCTAAGGAAATGTGTATACTGGGCTTTGGTCTCTAGCTTTCTAAATATGGTTCTTTTGATGGAACCATCCTCTCTTCTCGTTAGTAGGACGTCGAGGAAGTGTAAAGAGTCGTTGTATTCTCCTTCGTAGGTGAAATGGACCGCTGGGTGAGCATTATTGAAGTTGTTCAAAATCAAATCACCTTTTATAACCTTGAACTGATTTGTCAATTTTCCCACCCCACACTCTACAATTCCATTATGATTAATCACCATCATTGTCTCCCGTTTTACAATATTTTCTAGTTGATTTCAGCCAACTAGCACGTTTGTCACACAAATATGACTATTTATTTTGACACACCATAACTACTAATCTGTTATTCTAGGTTAAAAATGTATCCGCCGCATACCTGGCTATCTTTATTGTAGCGACAACAAATACTCTATTTTATAACTGTAAGAACCTGAATAGGAGAAATTATTGAAAGGAATATCCTTCGTTCAGATTGACTTTTAATTCATGATATGGGAAGATTTCACACTATCAAATCTTATTATTATTATTATTATTATTATTATTATTATTATTATTAGCCAATATGAGTAGTTGGATATCACTCACATTAGGCAGTAGCGCTTGTTGATAGAACCAGATTCAAGTAGTCTAAACACCAGATGGCTGTTTCCACTCTGTTGTTGACGAGCTGATAAGCGTAGTGTTACCCGATTAAATTGAGAGCTCAGAGAGCTGAATCGCCTCAAACCAATTGGATACTACTGGTCAGTTACTTCAGGACACTCGTAATACTCGTGATTGGATCGAACGAATTCATAATGTGTATACTACACAGTCTCAGATGAGTAGTAGAACTGGGTACACCGATGATGAGCTCGACTCAAAGCCGGTGAAACAGCTGCCTCAGTGTTTATATCACTTCAATGGGGATGACTATCAAGCACCAATGCTGGTCGACGATGTGCGGTGTATCCAACTACTTATGTCAAACTATCAGTAATATATAGCACTGCCTTTTGACTGATATCGTTCTCCTAGAAGGTGATCGTCTCAATCTACAATTATTATTGGCTTTTAGAATATTTTCCTAATAAATTATACACTTACTTACTAACTTACAAGTTACTATGTAATTAGCACAGTGAATCGACCCTTTTATCGTTCATCTTTCTGTATTTTATGGTGTCACACTTTCTATCGTTTAAATCGTTACTCTACTATTTTATTTTTAGTTGGTATTACTATTATTACCACAATTTTGTAATTTATACATATTTTTCTCCGTATAGCACACAGTATTTTGCTACGTAGCTGCTACAACAATCGTTTTATTACTATTAGGTATTGTGTATTTTTAATTTATTTTTTTGGGTAAATTAGATGCAATATTGTACTGAATGCTGAAAATTCCTTGCTGTATCATGAGTACTGTTTTTGGAATAAAGCAATTATTATTATTATTATTACTTCGGCTATCTCCTACGGGAGGATGAGGCGGCTTCATGAACACTCGAATCATCGCTGCCCAGGCGCGGCGATCTGATGCAAGGTTTTGCGACAGGGTTATCCAATTATCGTCCCACAGACGGAGTCCGTAGACGGTTTGTAGCCCCAGCCCAGGCACTCCATATCAGCCTTGACTGACTGTACCAAGCCATGTTTTCAGCTGTCCACCCCTGCGACATCGCCAAGATGGAAATAGAAAGCGAGGGATTTAGAACTGATTTGACCAGATCCTCACCTGGTCGGCGCAGAAAATGGCCAAACCACCAAAGGCGACGTTGTTGGACCAGTACTGGAATTTGGTTGATGTTGTAGGAGAGTTCATGAAGTTTCATCGGAATTAGGTACGAGTGATGTCCCCAGAATCGCTCGGCCTTTTGTTTGAGAGTGCAGCTCTAGCCTTTACACAACCAAGTGTGACCGACAAGGCAGTAGGAGTGGAGTAGAGAGTCCACTATCCATTGGCAACCGGTGACCAGAGTCCGGTTCATACGCCCTTTTGAATGGGGCCAGACATCCAGGGCATCCAATAAGCCCTTTGTCCATACGTCTGCCGGTGAGCTCCGGTGAGCTTCATACGCCAGTCGTTGGAGGTTTGGAATCAGGGTTTAGCCATCTCCCCTGGACTGTCATCCAATGGACAGTCAACCCGGTGAAGAGCGCCGGGCATCCGCTTTTGCCCTCTCACTTCGGTGGTGAAAAAAGACACCTCCGCCACGTGAAGGCAGTGAGTAGGACTTCTTCAGGAGAGGCTATGTAAGACGCCCGGTCATATGGGAGCATTTCAAGAGGTGTACGGAGGGGTGGCCAACCTGCAGCGCAAGGCACCCACCCTCGACCATCCTGAGGCTTTGGAGGCAAAACGTAGTGTTTTTGTTGGGTCAAGTAGTTGACTTCGATGTGGTTTAATTTTTTTTCTGCTTTGTTTTTTGTTTCAGTTCTGTACTACGGCATAATCTAACTACACGTTTAACAATACCGTGTGTTGATGATACACTGATACGTAATTATTTAAATTCACCTGTTGTTCGTCGACTTATCAATGTAAAACCAGATGTACCAAAGGAATGGGATATATGCAGTGACGAAGTCAATGTTAAGTACATTCGTACTTATGAAGATTTATCTAAACAGTATATGAAACTACTTCAATCCAATGTAAGTCAGTTAGTTGTGTTATTTTGCTTTTATTGTATTCCCCGTTGATTTGTTTTGCTGGGATCGAATTACTTGGTTGGTATGTTTTAACATTTTAAGTCACAGCATGGACGTTACCACGATGTCATCTTATGGGTGATGTAGGTTATCAGTGGAATACAACACGACCTGTGCTTCGTCCTATTTGGGATTCGTCAGCTAGATATATTTGTAATCTCAATTGAATGAATACTTATTGGCTTTCGAAACGGTCTGTGGTGGGCTTGGATGTGACTGAGGAAACATTGTCACTCACTGTAGGTTGGAAGTATATACTCATGAGGAGTTTTAGATGAAACGAAATGCACATCCTCCAGTCCAGGGCTTGTCACAATCAACCCAAGTGAATTGCTTGTTAATGCTTTTCCTAATTTGCCCCTTTGACACCTTTGCCTTTATGTGTTTGTTTAGCTTTATACTACTTACTGCCAATAAGTAGTTTAAACTCACGCCTCGCTTATAATTTTCATGCTGTATCCTTAGTAACAATGTAGGATGTGCAGCTGATATCAAAAACCTGTTGAGTGATCTTGAAAAAAAAACTGGCCAGATCGTTTCTTATTCAGCCTTAATTCTATTCATTAGCTACTCTTCAGTTCCATTCTGGTTTTTTATTTAACCGTTAAAATTAGGATAATTTTTTTATAGTTTGGTTTGTAAAGGTTAGTTTTGTTTTTACGAGTTGATCACGGATTGATATCAGTTAGAGAACCATTGAAAACCAGCCAGGGAGTACTGGACAGCTGTTACGTAAAAACAAAACTAACCTTTACAAAAAAAACTATAGAAAATTAATCGGATGCTCGCTAGTGACTTGCTACAGGATGGAGTTTCCTGGAGTCAGTTCTAGTGAGATGTCGTGACCAGTGTGAGGTCCATCCAGATGTCAAGTGTGAGGATGGATGTCCCACCTACAAAAAATGGTTGGGGTCGCGCTAAATCACGAATTGGTAGAAGTTAGACTTCATGGGTTGGCTGGCCATTGAATCGGGTCCCATTAGCTGAATGGTATTCGAGCTGTCTGGCCTTGTAGCCAGAAGGTCCTGGGTTCGAACCCCTGACGGTGGATGCGTACTGTCGATGATTCTCAAACTACAATGAAACACTTGGTTGTCCAGTACTCCCTATGTCTGGTTTTCAATGGTGCTCTAAATGACATCAATCCGTGATCTACTCGTAAAAATAATTTTTTTGGTTTAGGTGAGTAATTATGTGAGTAATTAGTTTTAGGTGAAGAGATTAGATTTTAGGGTTTATAATTAAGATTTAAGTTTAGAGTATTACTTAAAGGTAAAGTTTACTGTTAGACTCTGGTTAAGATTTTTATGTCCAAAAGTAACTTTGGTGAAATTCCACGCCGAAGTGTGTGTGTACATTGCTGAGTATAAAATTCGATTCAGTGTATTCACAACAGTTCACCGAAGTAGTTAGCCAGAACTCAGATAGTCTGTATTGATTCGGCCGGTTGTCTTAGTTGAGTCCAGTGGAGTGCATCACTATTGATGATGACCTCTGTGCTAAATGAGTGAAGAAGCCGCAGTCTGGCTGGCTAGCAAACACTCCACCGTTAAATGTGAGTGATATCCAACTACTTGTTTCAATCAATGAGTAGTTTGTAGCATTGTTCAACGATGCCTACTTTCTTGATTGCCGTTTATATTTGTGATCTGAATGATCTTGGTTTTCAAAAAAATCGATTTTGGTGAAATTTCACTTTGAGCTGTGTAAGTTATAAGTTAGGTAGGTAAGGGAAGGGTTGAGGGATTAGCATTCGTTTCAAGTTTGGCGAAGGATTGATATCAGTTAGAGAATTATTGATGGTAACTAAAGAGTACTGGATAGCTCTTTTGTCCTAATATAGAGCTCATTGTCAGTACACACTTACTGTTAGAGTTGGAACTTAGGAGCTTCAGGTTGAAAGGCAAGCTCTTAAAATATTCACAACCACTGTGGGATCCGACTCAATAACCAGCCTATGAACTTCTACCAATTCTTGGTTTTAGGTGCAACCGGCCAAAATTAATGTCATCTGTAAGTGGTTGTCTTCACCCCCCAACCAAGTGGACCTCACTAGTCACGACTTTTCACTGGAATTCTAGGCGATCATCATCAGATAAATTTCCAAAAGAGTTAGTTTTTGCTTGCAGCTATTTGATTTGTCTGAAGTTGAGGACGAATACTCGCCGATGACATTAGCTCTCACTGGTCGCGCTAAAATCACGAATTGGTCAGAAAGTCAGAATCCATAGGCTGGCTATTATTGACACTGAATGGTCTTCGAGCTTCCTAAGTTCGAACCCCTAGGGTGGAAGTGGGTGCATACTTCGGTGAGTCCTGAAGTTGGACAAAACAGGTGTTCAGTAGCCCCCTAGTTATCTACAGTGATTCTCTAAGTGATACTAATTCATTGTCAAACTTGAAACAAATCAGAGCATTACGAAAATTGACTCCTGAGGATTAGCGTCCGATTTAGTTTCCATTCAGTAAAACCCACATTTTTCAGCATCTCAAAGGTCGTCACTCTGATTAAATTTATTTATCTCCTTTTATCCGTCTTAAGTATGTTGTTGTTTTTTGTAGTAGTCAGTAATGTTATCTATGTATTATGCGATTTTCCTCATTGATTTTTCAAGGTCTCATTCGCTGGTAAGTCGTTGAGTTGTCGTTTGTTATCCTCGTTTGTATTGTGTTCATACTGTGTTGTATTTTATCTACAACAGTTCCATACACCACATAATATTAAACTGCACTTTCAATATCTGTTTAGCCTTAATGTGTTCTGCTTTCATTTTGAACCTTGTTTGTAATTTAAACCATTTTATATTTCCGCCTCCATAATCCCGTGTTGTTCTTCGCTCTAACCCACGTGTGATGGTTTGTCTTCTCTAACAGTACTTGTCGTTGATGAAAGTGTTTTTGATGACAATTAAACTGTAGACACCTCACGAATTGAGGTGGATTTCTAAAAAAAAATCATGAATAATCCCCATCCTGGCATTAATAACGTAAACAGCAAAACAAGTAGTTCAACACAAAGAGAGGCTCTTTTCGTCGAATTCATTTTACTCTTTAGCTTTACAATTCCGGTGACTGAATGATCCAAGAGCTTGCTTTTCAACTTGGAAGTTCTGGGTTTGAGACTTTTCTGGTGCATACTGTCAAAGAGAGTGCCAGCCAAACTAAGACGGCGAAATAGCTGTCCATGACTCCCTGGCATTTATACAGAATTATTCTTCACAAATGAAGGCTGGTAGGTAGTTATCTGGAGTTCTAGTGAGGAGTCGTGATCAGTAAAGAGTGCTGCAGGTCGGGTGTGAGGACAATTACTCGCCACCAAAGACATTGGTTAGGGGTCGCGCTATGTCGTGAATTGGCAGAAGTTAGAATTCAAGGACCATTGGATCGGGTCACAGTGGCCTAGTGGTCTACGAGCTAGCTCGCCTTGTAACCAGAAAGTCCTGGGTTCGAATCCCGGTGGATGCGTACTGCTGAAGAGTCCCAAAACCAGGACGAAACAGATGCCCAGTACTCTCAGGTTTTCCAATGGTTCTCTAACTAATGTCAGCTCATGATGAAATCATTGTAACCAAAAAGTGATGAGTTGTCATAATCGTAGTTGTTAATATGAGTCGGTGTATAAGAGGAGTTGATTAAGTACACTGGAGTTACGTAATAAATAAGTTGCACAATTTCAGTGAATGAGTTGTAACCAGAATGGCACATAGAAACGAAGGGAAATATGGAATTATGTAAAAGTTCTAAAGAAATTCCAGAGTTACAAACAGTTATATAAGAAACAAACAAATAGACAAACAGAAATCAGGTTAGCAAGAAACAACGAGGCTGTTACCTTTGCTTCATATACAGAAGATTAATTTCTCTATCTGATGAATGGCTTGAGGCGCTTCAGAAATTCAGAGAGTGGAGTATGAAAGCATATTGTCTTTGATAGGCGTCTGTTCTGCATTTTATACATTACTTTAAAGGAGGAGTGTTATTGCACTCCATATTAGAGCCACTACTACCTTTCTGTAACCATGTGGGCTACCTAGTGTTCTTCAACCCTTTTCTCGGCAGGATATGCGTTGAACGACCAATGTATAGTTGACTCCACAGGAAAGGGTGAACCGCACATACATGCACACTATTCATATTATCATGATCCATTAGTATTGTCATGTATCTTAAACTAATCTTATTTTCACGGAGTTTATGCATAACCCCGAATGTGTTTGGTTTATACAGGTGTCAAGTAATGGTCAAGTAGTTTATTTTTTTCCCTTAATTTGTTAGAAAATGTCTGCTTTGAGAAAGCACACTGGACTTCATGCTGAAAGTTTGTCTTCGATGTGAGTGTGTGTGTGTGTGTGTGTGTGTGTGTGTCAATATATGCGTATATATATCGAACAAAGGCAACGAAATGAAATTTTATTCTCGTTAATATTCTCTCCCTGAAGTTCCAGGTTGAATAACACGGCTTCAGCTACTTATATCTCCATTACGATCAGTTCTCTGATACCATTTTCACCTGACTTCATGAATTTCTATAAGCTGTCATTTTCTCGTCATGTCATCTCCTCCATGTCACCCTCGGGTCCATTCTAGGTGCTTGACTGCCTTGTGATGCTGCTTTGAAGGTCTCTCCCAACGAATGTTCAGCCTGTCGCCATTTCCTTTTACTTATTTGTCGCATAACAGACTGTCCCCTGTCAAAGATATCCCTTGTCGATTATTATTTCTGACTAGGAAGCCATCTGATGTTCAGTATGAAACAAGAGATGATGAGACTGTCTGACAGGCTGTTAAAAATACTTTCGGAGAAAAAAATGAATATGATACGCCATTGTTTTCATTCTCAGTGAAAAATCTTTTCTGTCTGTGCGTGCGTGCACCTGTGTGTGTGTGTGTATTGTCTGTTTTCTAACATGTTATTTTCTCAAAGATAGAACCAAACTGTATTTTAAGCGTAGTTACTGTTTCATCATTCCGTCGTCCTCCTTGTTCTTCTTCTCCTTTTCTTTCTGTTTTAGATCTCCACACTGATATACAATGGGGATATTGATATGGCTTGTAATTATTTCGGGGATGAAATGTTTGTGGATAATTTGAAATTAAAGGTGAGGGAATTATAATGTTGATTATCATTATTATTATTGTCATTAATGGTAGTAGTGTGGCAGTGGAATACGGTAGCATCTAGTAGCGGATTGTTTATTTGACAAAATGATCTCAAGTTATGGTGACTGACTGACTGACCCACTGGTTTCAGCATAGAACTTCGCATAAGTGTGCAGCAGTTCATCTAGCTACTCCCCCTCCATGTGGCACACACACACCAACAGAAGACAGTAAAGAGAGGTTCAAGCGAGAGATAATAAACGGAAATGTGTTGGAAAAGCAGTAATAATATGGAAGAGCAATAGAGTTTCACTGCATATGATAAATCACAAAGAGTGAATGCATCTATGCTAGCCATTGACAACGATTTTGAACTAGCCATATCACCAATTATCTCCAGCTTTCATTGGTTCATACCAACTCGAGGACCATCACTAGCTGACTGTTTTCCAACGTAATCCCATGCCAGCTAACATCGTCTGTTGAGGAAGGTGATGGCTAGGCATGCGCAACACATGTTCTAACCATCTCAATCCATTTAACTTCAAAACCTCATCGATTGATTTCCCCTCACTACCTAGCATTCGACGCCTAGCCTGAATATTGTTCACTCTATTATGTCACCCGACACGAGAGATAGAACGCAAGTACCTTTGGTCAAAGCGCCAGTGGTTCAATCATAAGGCGATTGTCAGTCAAGCATGTGGTACAGCTTCGATTCCCGACTGACGTTCTCCTTAACCTCAAGTTTTTGTGTGGAATCTCCATTTGCATATGTTCTTGGTTTTGTGCTTGTTCTTTTGTCGTTCTTTCGTGCTTTCTTCGTACACTGTTCCATAGGAATCTTCCATTTTTCTTATTCGCGACTTAATTTATTGCCTCGATATTCAATATTGTTGCAGAAGATATGATGTACACAATATACTACTTATATAATCTTTTCAGTAGAAGTACATATGATTCCATTTATTGTTAAGTTAGTAACTCATCGAAATGCTAATCGAGATGAAATTAACAACGCATTACTAATAGCTTTAGTGGTAGTGGTTATAACCCATGAAGACTGAAAAGAGGAAGGCGTGGCGAAGAGGTTGTGATGGGAATGAGAAGGGAAAATCTCCCATAGATATTTTTTATTTTCTTATTCTACTGTTCATTCATATCAATCACTGATATACATAACACAGGAGGTATCAGATTCTGTCATCATGAAGAAGAAGAAGAACACGATAAGCAGCCCTGAATGTGTGTGTATATGTATTGTGTTGTTATTCTATGAACTTCGATGTATTTGTGATAGTGTGTGCCTTTTCTGCTCAATGCAGTATCTCCTCAGAACGCTATTGGTGACATTGTCTTCATGTCTGAGTGGTGAAACATCAGATATCTTTAGTTAGATCAGTCGATTTTCAGTCAGTGTATCCCAAGGGATTTTCTAGGTCCCCCTCCGCTTACATTAGCCTGAGGGGTGGGGGGGGAGTATTGTGACAACTGAGTAGTAGTGAGTAGTGGTAGCGTGATCAATTCTTCCACAATAAGTGTGTGACTCTGTTCATCATGCCTTCATCAATTGAGTTCAAACAGGGCTGAGAGCAGTAGCTGCATGGATAAAGAGGGTGTATTGATCATATCTTCATCCTCCGACAGATTCTAGAACATAGACATTCCTACCGGCGTCCAACAGTCATTATATTTCTTGACCTAAAGGCAGCATTCGACTCTGTCGATCGAGAAGTTCTCTGGAGATGCTTGGCTGTAAAGCGAATCCCGAGAAAATATATTATACTGATTAAGGCACTCTACTCGTACTCACACAGCCAGGTGAGGGCTTACGGCGAGTTGTCATATGAACTGATGACGACTAGTGGTGTCCGTCAGGGGTGCCCATTATCCCCTTTTCTATTCAACTTCATCATATATGTACTAATGGAGTTAACCCTAAGTGACTTCGGCGACTCAGGGATTGACTTGCTACCAGGTCATAATCTCGTTGACTTGTAATATGCAGACGATATAGTCCTTCTAGGCGAGGACGTCGAGAAAAAGCTGCTATCTACGAATGTTTGGCATGCGATTCGCTCCCGCCAAATGCAAGATGATGTTACAGGACTGGACTACAGTGACTAATTCCTAGCTTAGAAATAGGCAATGAAGTGGTAGAGCACGTTGACCGCTTCACTTATTTGGGAAGTACCATCAGCCAGTGCCAACGGGTTGATCTCTGGCGAAATCTCAGCACGAATACAGGGGGCTCGTTTCGCATTTGCCAGTTTACGCCACCTCTGGCGTAGACGAGATATTCGACTATCGACCAAAGGGCGGGTGTACTGCTCATCAGTCCGCTCCGTCCTCCTTTATGGCTGTGAGACCTGGCCACTGAGAGTGGAAGACTTGAAAAGATTAACTGTCTTTGATCATAAGTGCCTGCGTTCTATCTCCCGTGTGAAGTGGCATAATAAGGTGAGCAATATTGAGGTTAGGCATCGATCGAGTGCTAGGTGAAGAGGGGTAAGTCAATCGACGAGGCTGTGAAGCTACATCGACTGAGATGGTTAGGACATGTGTAACGTATGCCTAGTCATCGCCTCCCTCGACGAGCAATGTTAGCGGATATAGGGTCGGGATGGAAAAAAGCTAGCACCAGTCAATGAAATCTACAACAGTTAATCTAAGCCACGTAGGAAGGCGTAGACTTCCAGGCTGGGGTCCTCGGGACGGTAAAAATCAACGGTTGGAAACAATTGGTGACATGGCTCAAAATAGTCCTCAGTGGCTAGCGCAGATGCATCCACTCCTTGTGACTTATGATTTCCAATGAAACTGTTTTGTTCTTTGTTATTTCTCCTCCTGTGTCTCACACCTCTGTTTACAGTCTCTATTATGGATTTCTTGTACTTTCTTCTCTTGCTTCGTGTGGTACGTGGAATGTGGCGGCTTGAACTGGTGCACATTTGTGCAAAGTTCTATGTTGAAAACAGACAGACAACTGCCTGGATAGTTAAATAATCTTCTCAACTATCTTCAATCACGTGTAGATGTATAACCCACATACTAAACACTACAAGATGAGTGAGGGCGAAGAGTAACTGTGAAACAGCCTTAACATCGTTCCTCTGAGTAACAGTTGCGGCACAGTTGTAACACAGAGAAAGTGAGTTAAGTTCAGAATAACAAGGAGTGGACTTAATGTGGAAGAAGGGCCAAATACCTTTTAGTGCTAACACTGACCTTCAACTTCTCTGACACTAAAAATTGATTGAGTTAGATGAATACGATACACTGTGGTGATCTCTTGAGAGTTGTCTTTACAGCAGTTTGAAGAGTGTCATCTTCAGACACTTATGTTGTAAGAAATACTTTGTGTTTTCAACCTAAAATTGGTTTGGCTTATTCTGTGATTATCCGCTCCAGTGTCCTCTGTGCCAGCACTGTCGTTGGTCGCTATTGTTTAACTTCACCTGACTTAAAATGGTGCCATGTTTCTTAATCAAGGTTTACCAACCAATACGTCTTCACGTTATTTACCTTCTTTTCTCATTCGTTTGTATCCCTGGTGGGATTAGAGGCTTGGAGGTTGAGCTTTGAAGTTTCAACTAGGTTGGTGTTGTTCTCTTTTACGGGGTTGGGGTTACTAGCCTCACGCACCTAATCTCTTTTCCGTGGACTTATTATTGGTTAGGCGATATATAGGCATGCATCAGTTGGGATCCGATCCTGAACCACTGCCACTAATTAACAGATTGTTATATATTTTTATTGAACACCAATAACTAGTGTGACATATCTTGTCCTTTGTTTGGTGCAGACGGACTTCTATCAGTCAGGTTTGTAATGTGGCCACCATTCTAGGTAGCTCACCATCACGGTGCACATTGATTTGATGATGATATTAGATAGTTGGAGGCGATCGGCCACAAGAAGCCTTGGACCTAGGTTTCGTGCTAGTCGGCACTCACACTAGTTACTAGTGTCCAATCAAGATACTCACTACAATCCTACAGGAGGGTCAGTCGTGAGCCCGAACTGCTCATTGGTGGTAACGTCTCTGACTGTAGACTACACTGAGTGACGCGGGTTCGAATCTCAGGATGAGGGATATGAGTTCTTCCAAGCTAGTAATTGCAGATACGCCTTGCTGTGATGAGTGCCAGCTGGCACGAAACCTAGGCCAGGCAAGCCTTTCTGTGGCCAATTGCCTCCAACTATTTAATAGATTGTTATCTACTTAGCGGAATATTTCTGGTTAATTCCCCCCCTCCCTCCACTCGTCTTTTACTTTAAATTACAGCCGACTTTATCACGTCGATTTTGGTTATACACGGAGAGTGATGGTACGAAACAGGTTGGTGGATTTTGGAAAATGTTTGAAGGTCATGGCTCAGTTCTAGTGTATGCAACAGTTCGTGGAGCAGGACATATGGTGCCTGGAGATAAACCTGCTGCTGCTTTTCATCTGATCAATAAATTTATTCATGGTGAAAATCTGTGACACTGGGGATGTTGATCAATAAAAGAACGAATACTGAAAACCAGAACTTGATTTCATTATTATTACCCGTACTTTCTTTCTTTTTTTATATTTGATCTCTGTGTTTTCTGTAATCAATGTTGCATGATGCATTTCACATTATGAAAAGAAATTAGTAGTCTGTTAGTGAACTTTTTGAAAATATACATATATAGATACCTATGAATGCTTAATTTTCTCCTAAAGACAAAGCCTGTTCTATCAATGAAATCTTCAAATGATTCGCTGCATGGCTCGTTGATGTGGTCGCTCAACTATCAACGACTGGGTAACAGATTTAAATCCTGTTCCACCCACCGAGATTTGGGTAGCGGTTTAGGTGGCGGTATCATTAGCCACATTTCATTCACAGTGTGATCACTTCCCGTTAATGATAAAATTATTTTGCGCTCCATTCGGAGAATAGGGCTTTAATCTTGAGTCCTTGTGTTACAGTATGAATAGTGCCTTTCTATGGGGTGGAGTTGCTAGTCCCCAGCCGGACTTCACATATTTCTAGAGCTAGACTACTCACCAAGCGAGGTTTAGGAGTCTCTCTTCCGAGAAGAAGTGATGCTTGGACCATACATAATCTGAAACAGTGATTTCTCTGTTGTTTCCTGAACGGAAGTTCGATGGTGTGCTGGTATAGTGAACCGAAGTTCTGACGCCCTGTTACCTCCCTATATCGCTGGCCAAATCTTTACTGAGCGGTTGTTTCTCACTGTAAGACCATTGATCTGTGGATGATGCGTTGTACTGAATCAGTTACAATTTCTGCATGCTGATCTGAGATCGCAACGGCGTTCAACCAGTCGGGTAGCATGTCGCGTCATCTTTAAGGTGTGCTGACTGTCTCCGGAAAGGCCTCATCACCTCCACGGGCAACAAGTCACCGTAGGTCAATTTCCTTTGGTCAGTAAATACCTGTGTAACAACAGAAGACAAGGGCCGGCAACAGATCATTTTATTACGGAAATCAGCACGTATTTATATGTATTAAATGTACATTATTAGAGCTTATTCAAGTAGCAAAACGCAGTCTTCTTATAGGTTGTTATCGAGTTTCTCGGAAAGTGTAGCCATCTATCTGCGAATCACATTTGCCCACGTTTGAGTTTGCTGTGATTGGTTGTTGAATCAGCCTTGTTCATATTTTCTCACGGCCAATATTAGTGACCTAGACATTGACGTAGATTAATGTCGACCGATTGGCTAGCAGAATGGTCTCACCACACCTGTATCACTGCGTCAGCCAAGTCTCATAAACCGTTAATGCCCAGCTCTTGCTACGCTCGGGCCCACGCTGTTCCTTGAAGTTTCTCAGAAACGCTTAGTAATAACGGACGAAAAATCCAAAACACCAATTGTTGACTCGAGGATTCTTTATTGTAACACCAACATATGAAAAATGTTTCCACTAAGGTCTGTGAACAAATATTACAATAATAAATCACAATATTACCTCTGACGGTTTGCTACTGACTTCTTTATGAACAGCGACCGATGAGACGATGACTGTCGTATTGATGCCTCCGCGAAAATTGGGGAAGTTGGTGTTTAGAAAACAACCATGAATTGATCGTTCAAACTTCAACTCCATTGACACTCCCCGGCAAAAAAGGAATCCATCCCTTTTTTCCTTCACGACCAATACACTTTGACTTGGATGCCAATGCGAGAACGTGGGTCACACGGACAGAGCTGAAATGGAAAACAAACAGAAAAGCCAACACACCACAAGCATACCCACAGCACAATCTCACACATCGCTGACGACCTGCGCCTCCAGACAGAGACCTCCTCTTGACATCTTGCAACACAATCGCCACTTGCTAGAATGACTCTTGCAGAATGCAACGTGACCATAGCACCAACTCATGATACTCCACGCACATCCTCTTATCTACTCACTACCAATTACCGCTGAAATCGCTTGTCAATCATTCTGCCCCAATTCTAGTAACGGTGACGTATGCGAGCCTCAGTCGTTTACACTCTTTCTCCCCGGCGTTTGGGACCACAGCCAACAATTATCTCCGTATGCATTTAATTCTCAGGAATAGCCTCCCCGGCGTATACGACCCATCTGCTGTCTCTAACATCAATCAATTCATTCACGGATGTAGAAGACTAAAAACAACTTCAGAAGTAATCACGACGAAAATTTTAACAAAATTATGTATTAACAACAAGGTACGAAAACAACAAGTAAACACAATGGATCCAAAAACACCAATTGATATGACACACCACACGTATATACAAACAGTACACACAAACTCGCCGATCATGTCTTGATGGAATTCCTTTGAAGAATCGCAGGACTTACACCAGTACGCCTACAACCCTTCACAGGTTGACCATTGTAAGTTGTGGAATGTCCGGACACAAACAAGATTAACTTACAATTACATCATTTGGAAACCACTCAATTACCTAACACAAACATATGTACAATCAACACATCAAATGTTGTGGATTCTGGCACGACAAACTACCCTTGAAGAACTGTAGGACTTACAGCAGTACGCCTACATTCCTTCTCAGGTTGATGATCCAAGTGGAAGTCGTCCGGACACAAACAGAATTACCAACAGCTAGATCACAGATGATATCAATTCAGTATATACAATATGAACATATGTACAAAATCACACACCAAGCACATTGGACTGCTCATTGATGCGCTACCCTTTGAAGAATTGTAGGACTTACAGCAGTACGCCTACAACCCTTCTCAGGTTGACGCCCTGGATTGGAAAATCGTCGCAGAGTTCATTTGCTGACTTCCATCTATCAGCTATACCCTCAAATCTGAACGATAACAGGCTCATGTCATTGTATCGTAGAATATAGATGACGAAAAAACATACGACGTATCTGGTCAACCAAGCGTAGAAACAGAGTAATTTACACCAAAGATAATAACATTCAATTAATAACTTGAAACAAGAAATGCCTTTGTTCGTGCACGTCAATTTAACAATTACTCTCTCCTTTACACTTGGCTTATCCTCTCTAAACTGAGCAACATCTTCCGTACTTTCAAATGCACCAGTACTATCATAGTCATTTCACAAGCTACTTGAGTTGATGGGTGTCTGTTTCATTGTGGATGACAATACCAACGACGACTGATTGATACCAGTTGATGAAGTTAGCGGTGGATCAAAAGCTGTTGTTGCTCGGCTTTCAGAAGTTTGTCTAACTGCAAGACCACCACCACTGCTGTCTTTTACTATCAGCTCAGGTTTAGCACTAGCATCTGATGATAGGTGGGCTACACGCTGATCAATTACACTGACGGTCTCACAAGTATGCGTGCCTTCTGCAACTGAATCTGCATTTATTTCTACTTCACGTTCAAGTTGTACAGAAACTTTGTTCAACTTAGCAGTGGTAGGCATATCCCTCATCTCACCATGATCAACCAAAGACAACTGTGAAGTATCATGATCATTATCACGAATATTCACTTTACCGTCAACTTCATCATTTTCAAACTCTTCAATAAAAGAAGTGGACAATTTCGGCTCCTCCTCGCAAATCCTAAAAGGTTTTATAACTTCACTCTGACTAGTAATACCTTGTAAACTTTTCGAGTCAGAACTGGACTCTGAAGCAGCAACTCTATTCTATGACACTCTATTCAACAATGGCTTACCAGTTGCAACTACAGACTTCTTCACCACACTGTTATCGTCACACAATTCGGAGTCAGGCCTGGAGTTTACATTTAGCTTATCACTGAACTTGCTTACTGGTTCACAGTTCACCTTTGTACACACTTCTTGCAAACTTGTGAAATACAACCGTGCTTGTCTTGCATCTTGTAACTTATCTGTTGAGGATGTACTACGAAACCTGTTACACTCACTAGGTCTATATGCATTACTGGACATCATGGAGCCTTCTCGATATCCACCTCTCTGAGGCCCTTTCGTCATCAATGAGTGCGTTTTACCCTCAGACTGCTCTATTCTAGGGGTGAGATTCAATATGGTGGCAAACTTGCTCATCGATTGATTGACACTATCTTTTACTAGTTTCAGGATATCATCAAACTTTGGCTCGATACCCTCATCATCCATACGGGAGCTTATCTTCACCCACTTCCTTTGCAGTCGAGTAGGTAGGCGTCTCGCTATTACTTCTAGTATAAAACTCGAGTTGAGGTCACTCATGGGATTCATCGAAATCATTCCATTCTTGTAAATTAGCAAATTATCTAAAAACTCAGTGAGTGCCTGGGAGTCATCCAGTAATTGACCACCATTACCCTTAACAGCCTCGAATAATTTTCCTGCAATCATCGAAAGTCTTCCAAACTTTTGACGTAATATGCTCATAGCCTCAGCGTATCCCTCATTAGGGTGCATGAACTTAAAAGACTATATAGCTCTTGAAGCATCCCCAGTGCAATATCTCATCAAATACATTAACTTCATTTCATCACTCAATAAAAAAACTACTCAGCATGATCTCAAATTCCTTTACAAATTGTAAATAATCAGTCGGGTTTCCATCAAAACACCGTGGTTCAAATTTAGGGAGTTTGATGTTCCTATTATCCCTGAACGGCGAAACAGTAACATCAACCATGTCATGCTTAACATCAGACACATCGTTACAATTAACAGACAAGTCACCATGACTTACTTTCCTGCTTGCATCCAAGACACTCTGTCCCTTCTTTGACCCAGGCATTGTTGAACTTGACCCAACTCCAAAAATGTTCCAGATATTGCTTGTTCAAAGAGGACTTGTCTGGCGCCAGGAAAGATGAACGGTGACTATCCAAACTGTAATCAACTGTCTGAATCCGCCAGAGTCTGTTTCTACCGTCAGAAACTGTCAGCCACGTCTCGTAAACCGTTAATGCCCAGCTCTTGCTACGCTCGGGCCCACGCTGTTCCTTGAAGTTTCTCAGAAACGCTTAGTAATAACGGACGAAAAATCCAAAACACCAATTGTTGACTCGAGGATTCTTTATTGTAACACCAACATATGAAAAATGTTTCCACTAAGGTCTGTGAACAAATATTACAATAATAAATCACAATATTACCTCTGACGGTTTGCTACTGACTTCTTTATGAACAGCGACCGATGAGACGATGACTGTCGTATTGATGCCTCCGCGAAAATTGGGGAAGTTGGTTTTTAGAAAACAACCATGAAT